TTTTTCCTTTCTCATTCCTAGTGGCATTCACTCGTTCTCCTTTTCGCAGCCTCTTTTCTCATCATCACTAAACGAGCTCTCATACAAAAAGTCTCCCTCGTCCTAGCGTTGTTAAGGCTTGCGTACAAGTCCGTCCACTTGCAGTCGATGACTCGCAATAGACCTCCAACCGCCAACACCTCCACGCCCGCCTCGTCCATGACCTCCCTGATGACCACCCCCTCGACTGCCACTACCACGCCTCCTCCTATCTGACTCCTGCAATCGATGCATGACTCCCATGAGGGAGATGACTCGCATCCTCTCTCTCGCCTGCTGCAACTCTTCCTGCGTCACCGTTGCACGGGCACCTCGGGCTGAGACAAGTTGTTGGTCGGTGGGCACCTCCTCCTCCACATGCTACCAGTAGTGCACCCAACTCCCGTATGGATGAGGCCTATCATTGGGAGCATCGTCCGACATTGGGGGTCTATCAAGAAGCCGAAGGTTTCAATGGCATCGCACGAGCTTCTCGGTCTGTGTGGCATCCAACCTGTTACATGATTTGGAGTAGATAAAGCTCAACCGGGACCAAGCTCTCTCCTAAGGTGACGTCTCCGCCCAGATATGAAGGATCCTGACTGAGAAGAAGGCCGTATGCGGGAACATTTTCTGCTTCGAGTCCCAGAAACTTGTTGGATGGCTATAACTCTGCGCCGCTCGATCCATGGCCACGTCGTCGAATGGTCGGTCCCTAGCATGAAACTTGTCGATGGTTGTGAGGACCTCCTTGTACTGGTCCGAGCTCTCAGGGTAGTCGAACTTAACCAAAGCAGTGATTAACCCCTGCTGCATCTCGGCGTCGTCTGTCAGTGTAGGTTCTCGAAACTTTGGATCCAATATCATGGCAGCCATATGATTCATTGACTTGAACATGGTTCGGCGTCTGTCAAACACCACACGCACTGCACCCTGCTCCTCCCGATCAAAACCAACACAAGCAGATAAACAAGATACGATCATCTCATCGTACCAACGCAAAATCTTGCCTACCTGCCTCGTGCCGCTTTTCACTATCTGCAACATGTTCATGATGGGATCCAACAACGTGCACACCGCTCTCGTATCGTTCCACCACAGAGGAGACACGATACATGGTGTAACCTCCGCGGCGGCGTCTCGAATCTTCTTCGTGGACCTGAAAGTGTCCTTCCATCGATCATCAATGACCATCTGCATAAGTTGCATTTGCAGCAGCAGAAGTCGCCGCATTATAATGACATGCATGCTAAAGCGAACCTCAACAAGAAGGAACAGTGACATGGACATGAACACCTGCAAAACCTCGCAAGCATGACTATGGCGCTTGAAAAACTTTATGACCAACCGCGCCTGAGCTATGCGCGTCGCCACCCAGTCAATGTCGCCGATGTCCTCAAGGATGAGGTCCATGACATACGCCACATAAGGAATCCAAAAGATGTGCTTCACACTCTCATCCTTCTGGAACGCCTCCATCGTGGAGACATTCGAACTGGCCGAGCCTGTGACAAAAGTTTTAATGTCGGTGAGCTTAATGTCAAGGGACTTCAACCTTCTCAGCCAAGCCTGCGCTAAAGCAGTGGCATCCTTCTTCCCTATCATAACATCTTTGGTGACATATGTGGCGCCCCTCGTGGTCCCGATGAGGTAGTTGCAAAACTTTTGACCTCGAATGTTGGTCCATTCATCAATCATGATTGTGCAACCGAGTTCGGCAGAAGTAGCGAGGACAGGTTGCACATACTTCTGGACCTCGCCATCAAGCTCGTCCAAAAGTGTAGTGCGGATCATATGATACGTGGGGATTTCGGGGTCAGGGCTCCAGGAACTCCAGGTGGGATGATGACTGTTAACATGCATTTTAGGCTTTCAAGCTTCACGCAGTTGAATGGTATGTTGCTCTCAACAATGAATCACATGATCTCCAAGTGTCACCCGTGCTCTACAAGGTCATAGTGATACGAGGTCACCGCCTGTTGCGTGAAACTTCCCCTCCCTCGTGCAACGGTGCCACAACCTAACGGATTTAACAAGCCACCAGCAGCCGTGGGTGATGCAGCATGGACAAGACTCGGAGGAGGAATATTGCGCAACTTTTGTAAAGGATCCAATGTGCCGAAACACCGTACTGCGAGTTCGGGGCGTTCACAGGCGCAAGAGTGGGTGACGAATCTGAAACTCGAACGGGGTCGTCGGGGGGCACAGTGCCCGCTCCCTTAGGGACCGTTGCAACAACCTCTTCACCATGGGCAGAAGGTAAGTCAGTTGTAGGACCTCGTGACTGCGAAGGAGGGGGTCACGGTGGTAACCACTCATAACCAATGGAATGATGCCCCGTTGCGGCTGGTCCCGCCACGGGAGTACATGTCGCTGTACATGAAACTCTTGCAACCCTATCCCTGTTGTCGGTGAACAACAGGGCAAGGACGGCTGATGTGGCCACGTCCTTCCCCCACCCACGACCCTCAACGAAAGCACAAGTCCTAGGCTCGTCAAACTGCACAGGTTCCCCCCCCCACAAAACCTGGCATGGGTCCCTGCGCAGCAGGCTGCATTGTTGTCGATGGTGTGACACGCGCAACACGTGCGCACCCACTAGAAATCGTGCCAATAACAGGTGCAGGAATCGTCGGACGAATTGGTGCAGGTGAGACTCCCACCGGACGTGGGGGAAGAATGTGGAGACGCTACTGCCTTAGAGGGTGCGGTAGACAACATGGGGGGTGAAACGATGTCCTCGGGAAAACGAATTGGTAGCCACTAAAATGAATGATGACCTAGAGGGAGAGTCTGCAAGGCCTGCATGACAGAAACTAATTGTGCAGGACACTTAGACATCTCCTTTGACCAAATTGTGTGTCATACCGCTGGAGTCGCCATGGGGCATTTGTAGCCCTCGCCACAGTAAAAGTGTTCCTTCGCATCACGAGCACCCCCACAAATAGAACGGCCAAATAACCTGCACATACAACGACGACCGTTCTTTCTACCCAACGCAGTGGATTCATCCAAATAATGACCGCGAGCGATAAAATGTCAAACGTCATCTCGTTTCCCATTTGCTTTTGGATCAACCTTGAAAGGTGAGTCAAATGTCTTCGTGTTGTGTTTTGTTTTTACTAGATTCCGACTTCTTCCCCATTGTTGAGGAAAAGTATGTGGGGCCCTTCCTAGTGTTGTCGCGTGTGGGTCAGACATGTTGTGTACCTCAAAGAGAAAGTAACGAAGGGTGAACTGAAAGAAAGTGTGGTGACAGACAATAGCACTAAAGAACTAAAGAATCACTTTGGAAAAGATGGACCATTACCACAAATACTACATCGACAAACAAGAGAAGGAAGAAACGTAAAGAAAATAACAAAAAATGAAATGAGGACAACATAGAAATAGCTTTGCAGTCTACATTTGCACCCCCCTTACACATTAACCCCTTTCCCCCAAGCCCCCATATCAGTGCCGCACATTGCGGCGCAACCGTCTTAAACGAAAAAAAATAAAAATGAACCAAACCCTTCGTTACCACATTTGCACCCCCCTTACACATTGACCCCTTTACCCCAAGCCTCCATTTCAGTGCCGCACATTGTGGCGAAGCCGTCTGAAAGAAAAAAAAAAAAAAAGACCCTTCGTTACGACATTTGCACCCCCCCTTCGTTACCGCATTTGCAACCCCCCTACACATTGACCCCTTTCCCCCAAGCCCCCATTTCAGTGTCGCACATTGCGGCGCAACAATCTCAACAGAAAAAAAAAAAGAAACAGATCAAACCCTTTGTTACTGCATTTGCACCCCCCCTGCACAGTGACCCCTTCCCCCCAAGCCCCCATTTCAGTGCCTGACATTGCGGCGCAGCCGTCTCAAAGAAAAAAGAAAAAAAAACAAAACCCTTTGTTACGACATTTGCACCCCCTCTTCGTTACTGCATTTGCACACCCCCCCTTTGTTACGACATTTGCACCCCCCTTTCGTTACCACATTTGCACCCCCCCCTACACATTGACCCATT